TGTACAAAAGCATGCTTTTTAAGAAATTAATATCCTAAATATTTCACAAAACTCCTCAATTCTAATGAAAGTGTATGTGAATGTGTTCAAAAATTTTGTCTGAAAATAAAATGCTATAGGATCAAATGGATCCCCCCAGAAATAAAAAATATTCCCCATCCTTCAGAAAAAGGAACTGTGTTTTTATTGTTTTATTTTTAAGCTATTCTAAGTAATAGCCATGTGATCGGACCTTTTGGTTTACAGATTTCCATTCCAGTTAGTTAACTTTACCTATCATCATCGAAACAAAGTGTTGTTTTCTTTCCTGCCTTGACATGTGATCTTGACTTGGCCATAATTACAGGTTCCATTCTGTGGGTCACTGGACAATTGGTGAGTTCCAGCAAAGAAAAACAAATAAAGTGCATATTGGTCTCTGTATGTCATGCGGTGTGTTCCCACATTCTAAAACTATCTGACATGTTCTCTAACTAGTCACGTTTCCAAGAAATAGAAATTATGAAGATGGCCAAGCATTCATTTCAGACATACAGAACTGAGAATTTTTTTTAACAAGTTAAAGCTGTTAAAGTGATACTCTAAACACCATAACCACTACAGCAAGAGCCCCCTTGCACCATCTCATGACAAGTTGTTTTAGCTGGCTCTGTCACGCACCCAAGGTTCTTCTGGCCTGCACTGGAAGTGAAAGTTCATACTTTGGGCACCACGGGACTCTTGGTACCATAACCACCACAGCAGTGGTTATGGTGCTTAGAATATCCCTTTAGAATATCCCTTGCAAAATTCAATTTTAAAAGATTGCAAAAAACAGTATTTTTATGTTCATAGTACATTCTTTCTCTTTCTTCTTCAAATTAAACTGTAAGTGTAACCTCACAATTACATTCATGGTAATCTAGAAAAACTGGTGAAAACATTAAAACGCATGAAGAAATCTTGTTTTGTGTGATGACACATATTCTGAATCATGTCTATTCCTACCACAAAAAGTCAAAACGGATTGTGTATAAAAAGATTTTTTTTTCCAATTTGACCATTTTTATTTTCAAATAAAATAAAACGTGGAATACAGAAGAGAAAAGGGGGGTAGGGTGGGACATCATATATTGTCATCATACAGATTTTCCGTTGTTACATGGTACAGTAAAGTTCAATGACATTTTATACATATTGTTCGTTCTGGACTTGCCCTCTTTTTTTGGGTTCTGGGACCTTCCTTGCTCCTCATCCCTGTAAGCGCACCCCTACAGTCCCTGTCTGAGTGGGCTTGAACTGCTTGTACCGATTACAGTGTGTGCTTCCCATTTTTTGTCCTTCTCAAGTGTTCTAATGTTCCAAACCCTCCGTGACTCCCCTCTAGTATCCCGGTGAGGGAAGGGGGTAGAATAGCCGGTAGGGTGGGAGGTGGGAGAAAAAGGGGGGAGTGGATTTGCGAGATCAGCGTGTCTGCTCTCCTACCGGTTCTGTCCTCTTGTTGTTTTTGAGATATTCCTCTCTGTACTACTTTCTGCCACCTCTCTATCCTCTCCTCTCGGTCCCTTCTGGTCTATGTCCCGTGGGCTCCATCTTGCGCGCTTGGGGGGCATTTACCTGTTGTGTTGCAAAGTCTCCTTGGGGGGTCAAACCATTGGTTTGGGGACTATTCACTGTCCTCCTTTGCGTGGGGGCATTTATGGCTTACCAGCTAAGTTGTGCTTCCTCAACTCTTTGGCTGTTGCCGTGGGTTTTCCTTGCTACCTTTTCGTATTGTAAATTAGTGGAGATTTGTTTTGTTAGGGTTCGTTTTGTCGGTGCTGTTATGGTTTTCCATTCTCTAGCTATGAGCGTCAGGGCCGCTAGTAGTATGTGGAAGGTCAGTATTGCCCCACTTCCTTTGAACTTGCCCAAGTCCATAAATAGGAGGCACATTTCTGGGGTAAGTGTGATGTTAGCGTCTACAACCTCTTTAATAATGCTCTCTACCATCTCCCAGTAGGGACGGATCACCTCGCACGTCCACCATACGTGGTACATCGTGCCTTCCGTCACCCCACATCCCCAGCTCTGAGCAGATGTTCCCGGGTATATTTTTGCTAGTCTGGCTGGCACCATGTACCACCTATAATACTATTTCCTCATTAATTCTAAGTGCGTTGTGCACGATGTCTTCCCCTTGTGTGCCGTTACTGCTTTTGCCCATTGGGTTTCATCAAATTGTTTCCCCATATCCATCTGCCCTGCCTCACTGAATCTGTCCAGATGTACTGGTGTACCCACATTTAGGAGCGAGTAGCACATGGATATTATCCCTTTTCTCTGCTTTTGATTCAGACACGTTCTCTCGAACCCTGTTAGTGTGTTCACCCCTTCTGCTGTGGATGTTTGGGCCCCTAACATTGATTTAAGTTGTAGATATGGGAATATCAGTCTGGGGGGACAGGTTAAATTTTTCTTGGAGAATGGGGAATGGTAATGGGTTGTGTGTTTAAAAAGATTTGATAAAATAGACTGGAGATTAGAGAGGAAGCAAAATACTCTACACTCCGACTGCAATCTGTACGGTTCCAGTTTTTTTTAGCCAAGTACCGTTTGGACCCTTTCGCCACTTTGGGTGCGAATGCCTGCCAGAGAGCGTGAGCATTCGGGAGAAGGGAAGGCACTGAACCAGGGATGATTTTAGTTCCTCTGGGGACAAGATAGGGGAATATAGGACAGGATCTGCCACAGTTACTTACTGTCATCATTTTTCTATTATCGCTCTCTGACTTTCAGATACTCACATACACTCTTTGCAAATCATAGTCTCGTTCTCCCGTCTCTGTGTCTGTCTCTACTCTCTGTACTCTCTCTCCCTCTATGATTCTCGCACATACCCTCTCTTCCTCTGTCTCTTCTTTTACCTCACACTCTCGCTCTCTATAACTCTTCAGTGTCTCCCTCTTCCTCTCTGCTTCTCTTCCTTTTCCTTCATGTCTTGTCTCTTCCCAAAATCTCTCTCTTTCTTTCTCTTGATGTTCTTCTTCTTTATATCTCCTGCATATGCCATTCTCTCTATATGCTCCTCTCTCTCTTCCTTTGACTATCTACTGTCTATTCTTCCCCCTCTCTTCTCTCTCTGTCTTCCTTTGCATCTTTTGTCTTCCTCATACTCTCTCTCTTTCCCTCTGTATATTCTGTTTTCCCCACACACTCTCTCACCCTACTTGTCTTCTGTCTTCCCAATACTCACTCTTTCTTTTCTTCTGTGTCTTCTGTCTTCCCGACACTTTCCCTCTCCCTCTTCTTGTCTTTCGGCTTTCTTTTATCTCTCTCTGCATATATTCCTACCTTTCTCTTTTCGTCTCTTATATCTCTCCATTCCACTGATCCGCACGTTTCTAATTTTTTTCTATGGCTCCCTCTTTTTTTCCCTCTGTTGTATCTCTTTTCTCTCTCTCTTCCCTCTCCCCTGTCTCATCATTCACACACATAATAAAGCCAAAAAAAACGAAACTTAACTTATTACTAAGCTGGCATTAAAATTGCATTTTGTAAGTAGAATTTACATATCTTAGTCAATGTTTGATTCTGATAGTTTACAAGAAAAAAAATACACCAGCCAAGACCACCATTAATTTTAGTGAAGTCATGACATTAGGCTATGATCACCAAAATGTTCTTTTGGCCCAAATTACCAGTATAGGATTTAGAAACCTGCAAATAATTATTTGAGACAAGCTTTCAAATTTGTAGTAATTTTTTCCCTATTACGTGGTTTGTTTGTTTTTAAACCTCTTAAAGGTCAGTTTTGACCTAATGAAATTTCCCTATAAAACCCATTACATGACCATATAAATATTGGAGTGACCTTCGGACCTTCAGATTTCTAAAGAGTCACTTTGTTTACAGTCACTCAAAGCTGCCAATTTTGCAGAAGAGTAAATATTTGAAAGATGAGCTGGTACACACCCCACTTGATTAAAAAACATACTTTGAAATGTATTTGTGGGAAGCACAACGAAGTTAAGTGAGGGGCAATTGACTTTCTCATCACATCGATGTTCAGACTACCACTCTGACTGGCAGTAAATTGGGGATAGTATGTTGCCAAAACATGATATCACTAGCTACATGAGTAAATGCTTTTACATGATTAATATTGAAAATCAACAGACTATGTCATCTCGTCTTTTGGGGTTTTTTTTGACGGTAATCAATGTAAAAAAATTTAAGGCATTCATTGGCAAATTTGTTAACACATTACACATGTTAATATATTTTGAACTTTTACAAATATGGTTTATCGACAGCTCATACAGTTATTTTAATAGAAGACAGATCACATTCATCTATCAAGATGGGTATTTCGAATTTACTTTTTATGGAAGGAACTTGCAGAGTCACAAATATTAAGTAATAGGTATAATGTTTTACCCATATTTCCTATATACCTATTTCTTATATACCTATAAGTATTTTAAGCCTAGGTATCACTTTGTATAAAGAATTCTTGAACTCATAATGATAAGAAAGTTGTTCCTCTGATTTTATATTAGTGGTTCCATAATATTTTTGATCTAAGGACACTTCAGCGAGAGAAGATATTCCAAGACACACCTACTTTATTTTCTTTTTACCTTTATCAGCATAAATGGCCCTTTCACTTACAAGAAAGATATGCACACTTGTAGCAAAATTAACTTAAACCTAATTGCCCCATAGAAATCTCAATTTTAATATAGGCAATTACGAGAAACAAACAAACATATTTTAAGGGACGAATTCAAGCTAATAAACTATGGAGTTCAGGTGAATCCAAAGTTAATTTAAAATTTTCAATCAAAATAGCCGAATTAGGTGGCGGGGCCGGACCGCCATGCTGACGGGTGGCATGCAGGAGAGGCTCTGGAGAAATCTGAATTTGCTCTGGTACTCGAAATGAGCCCACGAGACATCCACACGGTGATGTAAGAGGTGGCAGACCCAGAGATCGTGAGTTTTGGGTCCTCCGAGGGAAGCACAAAGCTTCGCGGGCTATGGCCTACTCGGGAGGGGAGTGGGGTGGACGGCCACTGCTTTGCCTCCCTTCCCAGGTGTCACACACCGGCTTCCTGAGATGCTTGTTGGTCCCGTTGAACCCTCTGTGGACCGGGGGTTATCCTGTTCCCCACTGCGGAGAGCTCAAGATGCGTGGAACTTCCAAGGCCTACCTTACAAAATGGCAGCAGCACCGAGCCCGGTACCAACGACACATGCCTTGTGAAGCTCCACCCACTGCAACGAAAGGCCGCAAAGCAAGTCCAGCAAGACATGCCAGACACAGCATGAAAACATCGTTGTGCAGTTCTCCTGGATCCCGCAGTACATCGCAGCTCAGTTCTGGCTTACAACAAGCTCGGAGTGAGGAGGGCTGATCTGTGCAGATTCTGCAGTGCTTATGCTACTACAAAACTACTCCTCAAGCCTGACAAAGAGTCTACCAAGTGGGAACTTTGCTCTACCTATGCAAGACGTCAGATGAAGGGAGAAGTGGGTCCTACACTGACCTTTCACCTTGCTTCCTTGAGCTTCTGGCAAATATATCTCTAATGAGACAGAGACAGATATGAGACATATATAAATATAGATTTTTTTATTTTTACTGCTGCTTATTTTTTACCTTCTATTTCTCGATTGATCTGTAAATATAATCAACATTTAGTGACTGTCCAATCATCTTTCTTTCCCATCAATCATCTCTTTTTTGGCTCCACTGGTGTAATTCAGAATCATTTTGACTTGGTGTGTGGTAGAATTTGGCTCGGTAGTGTCACGATTTTCATCGTGCCATACTTCATATTGTGTTCTTGGAAAAAGATCCTCCTCCTGGCTACACTTACGCATCTGATGGGACTCTAGTGGTTATGGAACACTGACAAGACTTTGAAAGGGCACTGCAAGCCATCGATATCGCTCATGCTGCTAGCTCCAAATACAAGAAGTCCAAAAAGAAACAGTCTGGTCTGTGAGGGAGCTTTCCTCTTCTCGCCTATGGCGATTTTGAGGGGAGGATGATGTCACGATTTTCATCGTGGCATACTTAATACTGCGTTCTTGGGCCCCGCTGGGTCTCCTACTTCCCAGTCAGTAACCTTACCTTGGGCTCCACTGCCCTTAGTTACTTTCTGATGATTCCTGGTATCCTGTTATCTGAACCTTTACGCCTGGACCCTGCACACATATAATCCCCGCCTTGGTTATTGCACATTGTCAGATTGTTCTGATCCTGTTTGGTTTCTTTGCTGTTAATCTGACTCCTGGTTCTTGATCCTCTGCTCGTCCTTTGTTTGTGCCTGATTGCCGCCTGTCTTGACTATTGATTCCGTCCCTGACTACTCTTCTGTATATTCCTTGCCTGTACCTCGTTCCTGGAAGCACTGGTTATTATCAGCCCCAGTGCACTGTTCCACCGCCTTGGGGATTTCTACCTTGACTCTGCTTGCTGACTCCCAATCAAGGTAAGATCATTACAGGTAGTTGATACATTTTGGCTCGGTAGTTGGTACACTTTGGCTCGGTAGTTGGTACATTTTAGCTCGGTAGTTGGAACATTTTGGCTCGGTAGATGATACATTTTGGCTCAGTAGATGATACATTTTGGCTCGGTAGTTGGAACATTTTGGCTTGGTGGTTGGTACATTTTGGCTCGGGGTTTGGGCAAATTACACGTTTTGCCCAAATTCAGACATACAAAATGAGCTCAATATAAATTTCCGACAATTCTTACTTTAGTAAACAACTCTTAATGTGCAACATCTTATTATAATTATACGTCAATTTTATTAATCTTGTAACTTTTCTACGTAGTCTTTGAAATTCTAAAATGTCTATCATTTCATTTGATGTACAAAACTGTCCATATTTGGATGACACCTAGTTATTCTTTTATTATGGAGGCAAAATAAACCTGTCTGCTCTTGCACCAACTTTATTTCTGTGAATTTAAAACATTTAGCAACTTATATTCTTGCTGGTTTTTTTGTTAGTTGTAGCTAACAGAAGAAATCTGAAAAAAATATGCTTTTTTCATTTTACTGCAAACATTACCATGCTTTATTTATTTATTTTTTTGCATCATCACAAGGACATCAGGCCTCGCTGAGTGAGAGAACGTATCTGAACACCATTTTACTGTTGACCCTTGCATAGTGGGGGAGTGATGCTTTGGGTACCCCTGTACATCTTTAGAAATAATCTACTAAAAATCCTATGGATTCAAACTAAATAAAACTTTTTTAAATTTGCTACGGTGGTAGAGATCGCTGGCCACTTATATGTACCATTTTTTTTTTCTTTCAACAAAAAAAGTTACCAAAGATGATAAGTGGATTTGTCACATAGTGTGTATTTGCTGCTTGAAGGTATAAAGTTAGCTGTAGACCAGGGGTGCCCAGAAGGTAGATCCCCAGATGTTTTAAAACTACAGCTTCTATGATGCCATAAAGGCATGCAAAGAATCATGGGAGTTGTAGTCTGCAACATCTGGGGATTTACATTTTGGGCACCCCTGCTGTAGACAATAAAAAGGTAATCTGTCACTATATATTAGTATATATATGTCACTATATATCATAGATGGAGGGCACTCACCTAGTCCTTCAATGACACCTTAATTCAGTCTCTCTCCTAATAATGACAGGCCAGGAGAAGAGCTGAGGAGACAGTGCAGTTCTGTCTCCCCAGCCCTTTTCCTGGCATGTTATTAGAGGGGATAAATTAAGGACAGCAGCCCCTATAGAGGGAATGAATTAAGGACAGTACATTAAGCTGCAGTGGTTATAGTGCGTTCTGTATTCTTATAACTGTTTAACTTTCCCTGACTCTCAGTAGCAACCTTGTGCTTTGTAAAAAAATATATCTTAAGCTTTTTTTGTGCAGTCTGAAAAGGATTCTCATTGGTTATTACTGGGGTTTACAGGACATGTGTGGGCTTGTATGCTTTCCATTATTCTATCAACTGTACAATTTAATCGTTGACAGCTTTCTTTTTAAGCCGATATTTTTCTGGGGTTTACCATAATGTCAAACATACACAACAGGTTATCTCGAACTCATCGAGGACAAAGGTTAAATTATGCCTGACTGTACCTGCTGTCAGCGTTTCTTTTTTCGAATTGTCAATATTTCTGTATTGGTTTTTCCGTTGTCTCGTTGCTGGTTTTGTATTTTTGTTGCACAATGCCTTGTTGACATATCTTTCTGCGCTCGTGAATATCTCTAAGAATTAACAGAATTAATAGGAAATGTATTGACTGAAGGTTTTATGAAATGAATTCAGGTTTAATCACTGAGTCAGGGAGGCAGCAGTTTACCTATCTGGGTAAGAAGGCACAATGTCATCAAAAGGAGATCTTCAGAAACATATATATATATATATATATTATGTGTTAAGATTTAGACAGAGGATACGTTAAAGAGACAAAAAAAGGTGCTAGTCTGAGGCTAGTAAAGGTGTTATCGCCATGGAAGCCAGTAGAACACTTCTCAACATTTAGCACTTTGCAGTAAAATTAGCAGCCATTTTGCCTTGATTTATCTTCTCCATTGTGTTATTATTAGGGGCAAACATGTTGACTATTGCATGGCTGAGGATCATGGGTCATAAGAAGGCAAGATTAACATAGTGGCTAATGATGCTGAAGGTTCAGGAACATGCTCATGGAATAGGCAAATCGATAAAAAAACAACTTTATACTACTCTTCACATTATTTTTCTTTATAGTTTTGTTCAAAGGGAGTTAAGTATGGGAACTTAGGGGGGATGCAGGGGAACAACACGTGTGTAGACTGTCTGACTGTAAAATAGTTAACATAAAGCTGACTGCACACGGTGTAATTTCTCTTGATGTTTCTGTCTCTCTAACAATCCGCGCTGTATTTAACGTGAGGCTGACAAGGCATTTGCCTCGGGCGGCACTTTTAGGGGGACGGCAAAAAAAGCTGCCCCCAAATGCCCTGGCAGATGCCTTGTCAGCCTCTTGTCCTGGGGGGCCCAGGAGCTAGCCGGCTGGCCACTTTGGGCTCCCCAAGGCTGGCATCTGCTTGGGATGGAGGAGAGCGGCGAGGGAGCACTCTTCCCTGAGCTCTTCCTGCTCTGCTCTTTCATGCGCACCGCAGTGATGCCAGAGCCGGAATATGACGTCACTCTGACCCCGGCATCACTGAGAGGCGCTTGAGGGAGCTGAGCAGGGAGATGCGAGCTCCATCGCGCGCATGAATTGACTGCACGCCCACCCGCCATGCCAGCACTCCCAACGGTCGGAAGACTGGGTGGAGTAAAAGTAAAAAAAAAAAATGTGTGTCTGTTAGTGAGTTTGTATGTGTTTGTGTGTCTGTCAAAGAGTCTATGTATGTTTGCCAGTGAGAGTGTATGTGTGATTGTAAGTGAGTTTGTATGTGTCTGTCAAAGAGTGTATGTGTGTTTGTCAGTGAGTTTGTATGTGTCTGTCAAAGAGTGTATGTGTGTTTGTCAGTAAGTTTGTATGTGTCTGTCAAAGAGTGTATGTGTGTTTGTCAGTGAGAGTGTATATATGTCCGTCTGTCAGAGTGTGTGTGTCTCTGTCAGTGTGTCTGTTTGTCAGTTTATGTGTGTCTGTCACTTAGAGTATGTCTACCAGTGAGTGTGTATATGTGTTTGCCAATGAATGTGTATGTCTGTTAGTGAATTTGTGTGTCTGTCAGCTAGTGTATGTGTGTCTGTCAGTGAATGTGTGCAGTGCCGGATTAACATAGGGGCTGATGGAGCTGCAGCTCCAGGCCCAGGCCCATGGAATAGGCCCATTTACACTCACTACACTTAGGTTTGCCACCTGACTGGTATTTTACTGGCACAGCTGGTATTTGAGGCTGCCATGCCAGTATTGCAGTAATACAGGCAATACAAATGCAGGTAATTTTCTCAGAATAAATGGAAATTACTCTGCAATACCAGCACCGGCCAGTAGGGGTCACTGTGTGTGGAGAGAGGCAGGTATAGGAAGTTACAGAATATCCCTGCCTCTCTCTACTACTCACTGATCTGTGGGGGAGCAGCTACACAGCATAGTCCAGACAGCAGCTCTACAGCTCAGGTGAGGGATGGGGGGAAAGGCAGCAGGGACACATGGGGACACTGAGACACTAGGAGACACAGACACTATGGACACAGACACTAGGGGACACTGAGACACTAAGACACAGACACTGGGAGACCTTGGAACACTGAGACACTTGGGGACACTGGAAAACATGGGGACACCGGGACACTAGAGGACACTGAGACACTAGGGGACATATGGGGACACTGAGACACTAGGGGACACATGGGGACACAGACACTAGGGGACACTGAGACACTAGGACACATGGGGACACAGACACTGGGAGACCTGGGGAC